CAGCTGCAGTCCGGCGCTGCCTTCGCAACCCTTTGACACGTTAAGAAATGAGCCACACGAGCCGGACAGCTAAGAGCTTGATCAATCTCTCCGGTGCCGCAGAGCCGCTCAGGCTCGCTCGGCCTCCTCCTCCTCCTCCCCCTTCCCTCGGGGCGTCCTGCCCATCGCGTAGAACTCCGCGTTGGGGCGCAGCCCGATGAAATGAGCGATGCGATTAGACATGGCAAAAAAAGCAGAAATCATGCCTATGTCCCAGGCATCTTCACGGTCAAAACCGTGCCGCTCCAGCTTCTGGAAATGCTCTTCGGTGATGTCATCAGCTCGACAGACGGCGAGAGCAAACTCCAGCATTGCCAGGTCCCGGTTGCTCAGGTCGGCCAGTTTCCAATTCACAACGACCTGTGTGAAGGTGGAAACCAGAGGTGGCAGAGATGGACCCAGCAAAGAGCCGACTTGCAGACCTGGTGGTGCACGGGCTCTCACTTGGCACCTGAACCAGACAAAACGCTCATCGGCTCTACTACCCTCCTCACATCAGGGTCTGCAGCAGTTCTGCTGAGCAGGCTATGCAGGAGCTCCCCGCTGGTAGCGAGTTCCTCCAGAGAACAGATTAAAACAGCACCGAATGCAGGCAGTGGGACGAACGCTCTGCAGGTCAACCTGCCGGCGTCCTGCTGGAAAGGTGGGTGAGGATACACAGACCACCATCTCGAGGTCCTACCTCCACAGGCTACTGGTCTGACCACTCACCAATAAACCTGTCCAGCCAGGGACTGAGTGAGGGCCCCAGACATGTCAAGACTGCTGGGAACCACGTAACTTGCAGATCAAAACTTCGGATGAAAAAGGAGAAGACAGGAGAGGGCTATTCCCACCTCCCAAAGGACCACACGGGGGAGCTGGGGCACGCGCTGTTGTAATCCCACTGACCTGGTCAGCCAGCACTGGCTGCTTGGAATATATTCGATGAAGTGCTCCATGTGCAACCACGCAGTAGGGACATCTGTTCACAACACTGGTAGCCACAATTATAAGCTCTTTGTCTGCCTTGCTGAGTCGCCCTACAGGGACAGCAGAAGATTTGTCACACTTTGCTATTAAAAATGTCCAGCACAGCAATATCAGTGGGCAAAGAGGAAGGGGAAGGCTCCTGCAGTACAACCCAGGAGACAGAGCCCCAGGAATGCTGCAGCCAAAGCTCCGAGATGACAGGACAAGGAACAACAGTTTTAAACTGAAATTTAAACTGAAACTGTCATAGGTTTACACTGGACATAAGGAGACAATGTCTTACAATGAGGGTGGTGAAACACAGGGACAGGTTGTCCCACCACTGAAGTGTTCAAGGCCTGGTTGGACGAGACTTTGAGCACTCCAGTCTAGTGAAAGATGTCCTTTCCCATAGCAGGAGGATGTTGGACTAGATAATTTTTGAAGGTCCCTTCCAACCCAAACCATTCTGTGATTCTGTGATCATTCACACAACCACAAAGGTCATGAGATTTGGGCAACAAGGAAACAATTCTATATAACAGAGGAAAACTTCAAGGAGCAAAAATTAGGTCCTCTCCAAGTAGGAAGCTCAGTTGGTACTTCTCTGTGTAAAATGTCCAGGGAAGGTGTTGCCTGTTCTTCCTTTGATGCGTAATTGCTCCTTTTACGGGGTTCTAAAACTTGCTAAGCAGGTTTCAGCAAGTAAACATTACTGGCAGCTTTTGGAGGCAGAAAGAAGAAAACCAAAAGTAAGAGTGAGGGCTCTGAGAACTTCTAGTGACAACCATGCAGACAAATCAAAACTCTGTTACAGAGTGCCTAACCTGTGACTGCCCTAAAAAAGCTGCGGAAAATAAGGCTGTGCTTTGTTATTCTCAGAGTCAATCCTAATCATTTTCACAAACAGCTTCACGACAGGACTGTGCCCACAAAAGCTACTGCTTTACTGCACTTTGAAAACATCTCCATAAAACCAGTGTCTTCTAAAAGCATGAAAGATGTGACTAAACCCCCCGGGGTAAAGGATTCAGAAGAAGAGGCCTTCTTGCTCTCGTTCAGTGCCAGAAAGTGGCAACACTGTGAGTCTGCAGAAGACAAGCTGAAGAGGGTGGGATCCAAAACAGCCCGACTCTTCAAGCCAAACAAAAAGGAAGCATGGGAAGGGGAAGGAAAAAATGGACCACCGCACAGCTAGTGGCATAGCTTCACTCCAGCAGCACAAAGAGAACAGAAAGCCTCACATGGAGACTGCCCGCACCTCATGGGAGAGGCATTAGGTTGCACTCCTTGCCACCCCCAGAATTTGCCAAGGCACTGCTCCTGAGCCCTCATCTTCCATAAGCACAAGGAGCAGTCTTCACACACCAGCTTATTTTACAAAAACTGGGTTTTACTAATTTATCTTCAGAGCAAAAGCGATGAGGATAGGCCTCTGAGTGCCCTGTGCCACAGAAACACGAGGGAGGGACAAGCAGTCTCCAAGCTGTGCTTCCTCAAAGGCTGAAGGAAGAGCTGTGCCAAGTTCCCCACATCCCTGCCCACCAGCCCCTTCTCATCTCTGTGCCCAGAGCCTGCTGGCCCGGCCAGCACCTCGCTCCTCTCCCTGCCGCCGCAGGGCATGGACAGCTCAGGTTCAGCCTCCCTGGCACCATGCATCAGGGGCCAGAGGGCACAGCCTCCCTCACACAGATTTTGCAGGCTGCTTGTGGGCAGCTCATTGCTGAGAACCGTTGTGAAGGAAGAGCAGCAGGTCCCAACCCTCAGGAGCTATTTTACCTAGGGCCTTTGGCCGTGACCCTGCCTGAGCCACACTGCAGCTGGCCTGCACCCAGGCTGACTCCCAGGCTGCCTTTCTGGCTCAATCTCAGATTTGCCTCATCTGCATGGACCTTGCCCGGGAAATGTGGGCTCCTGGCTGTCCCTGGTCACCATGGCCAGATTTGCCTTGCTTGTCTTGCTCTGGTAGCATGGGGCTGCAGCCTTGCCCGTGAAACTGCTGTCTCTGCCTGCAACCTTCCAGCACTCTGGGCTCTTGTCTCACCTTCCTTTAGGCAGCCGCCCATCCCTTTTTTGTCATGACACAGAGCATGGTGTGGTGAGGCAGCAGAGCTTAGCTTGAGAGCTGCTTTTTAACCACAGGCTAAAGAGTATGAAGCTGTATGCAACACGAGCAAAGCCAGAAGCAGCTGCACAGTTCCAGCCTCTGCCAGCTGTTACTGCCAGCCAGCAGATGGCACAACGACACAATACATCTGAGGATGTGAGATGTGTGGCTTTTAGCAACTTTTTGTATCTGCAAAGGGAAAGGCAGTTTTGAAGTGGTCCTATGGTTTACCTGTGTCTTTGTTCATAATGGCATTGTAACAAGAAAAAAAGGCTCGGAATTCAGCAGGTCGGTGTGACATGGCTTTGAACACATTAGGCAGAAATCCAGTCTGTTCAGCAAAAAAGAAAAACAAGAACTGTAAGTTAACACAGAATACAGAGGGCAACGTTAATGCACTGGGCTTAGAGAACAATTTGTTCTCTAACTTTCATAGCAGTTTCATAGCATGACTGAGTGCCCTTCTCACTTTAACCACAGCAGTAATGACCACAGTCATATCACAGAATCATAGAGTCATCATGGCTGGAAAAGACCTTCAAGATTATCAAGTCCAACTGTAATCTAACTGTACCAGGCTCACTTCTAAACCATGTCCCTGAGCACCATATCTAGACAGCTTTCAAACACATCCAAGGACAGTGATTCAACCACTGCCTTGGGCAGGCTGGTCCAGTCTTTGATAACGCTTTCAGTGTAGAAGCTTTTCCTAATGTTCAATCTAAACCTCCCTTGGCAAAACTTGAGGCTGTTTCCTCTTGTCCTTTTGGTTGTAACTTGTGAGGAGAGACCAATATCCACCTCTCTACCCCCTCCTGCCAGGGAGCTGCAGAGAGCGAGGAGGTCTCCCCTCAGCGTCCTCTTCTCCAGCAGAATAGCCCCAGCTCCCTCGGCCGCTCCTCCCCACACTTGCTCCTCAGAGCCTTCCTCAGCATCGCTGCCCTTCTCTGGGCACACACCAGCAACCTGATGTCCTTCTTGTCAAGATTCAAGGTGTGGCCTCACCAGAGCCAAGAAAAGGGGAACAATCCCTGCCCTGGTCCTGCTGTACACACCGTTGCTGACCCAAGCCAGGATGCCGTTGGCCTTCTTGGCCACCTGGGCACACCACTGGCTCCCACCAACACCCCCAGGTCTTTTCTGCCAGGCAGCTTTCCAGCCACTCCTCCCCAGGCCTGCAGCGCTGCCGGGGATTGTTGGGAGCCAAAGGCAGTACCCAACACTTGACCTGGTTGAATCACAGAATTATAGAATGGCCTAGGCTGGAGGGGAGCTTAGAGATCATCTAATCCAACCTCCCTGGCCTATCCCTTGGCCCATGGACCCAGCCTGCCCAGGTCCCTCTGCAGAGCCTTCTATCCTCCAGCAGATCAACACTCCCAACTAACTTGGTGTCACCTGCAAACTTACTAGGGGTGCTCTCAATGTCCTCATCAGGATCACTACTAAAGATACTAAACAGGAGTGGCCCCAGCACTGAACCTTGAGGAATACCACTTGTGACTGGCTGCCAACTGGGTATAGGCGAGCTCCTGTCCAAACCAAGAGGCTTTTTGCACTTGGTCTCCCTGCACAGATCCTGCTACGCCCATTCAACTATCCTAAACCTTCTGTAACTACCCTCTTCCCTTCGAGCCTACAGGCTGCAAGGCAGGGCTGTCCCAGTCTGGACAGCATGCCGTTTGAGGTGCCAGCATACAGCAGATGCATATGCGCCTCTCTCCCCTCTCTGCCCCCAATAACCAGCAATGCCCAGGCCATCTCTGCGATAGCGTGCGAAGCTGCCTTTCCCACAGAATCACTTGCTGCCTCCCCTGTGAGGGATCAGCTGATGCAGAGCCTGTCCACACTCGGGTCCCAGCATTAGGGCTTCAGCCCGGGTGCCTGGCAGTTCTAAGCAGGCTGTGTTCGCTGTGATGTGGTAACTGCCCCCAGGCTGCCTCAGCTTACCAGCTGTGGTTCTTCAGGATGTTGATGGAAAAGGAAGGTAGCGCAAGTGTCACAGATCCCTCCAGCAACCTCCCTCCACCCCCACACAACTGCACCTGACCCATCCTCTACTCCCCCACCATGACCACTTTTATCCTGGGGCTCTCAAACCAGGACAATTTATAACATGTTAGCTTACTTAGGACCTTCTAGCAACAGAGCTTGTGGCACAGTTTGGATATCCAAGTCTGCTAGACTGATTTGAACCTCTATGTAGGTGTTTGCTGACCCCTTCGGTGTGCTCACACACAGGACTTTGCATCACAGCATGTGAAATTTGAGCCGACTCTTCCTCTGTACATTACATTTACCCTCAAGTCTGCTGACTCCTTTTGTTGTCACGCAAACTTCACCAGGGCCACTGCGATGGTGGCAGAGGATACCTTCAACAGGCTGTTAGGAAGGATAAGGACAGAGGGAGCAGCACTCGCCTGAGACGAAGCTCTTGGAAAAGAGAAGTCTCCACAGAGCTGTGGCAGGTGGAGTGTTTTAGCCACAAGGAAGGACTGTGTGGCTTTCCTTTCCCACAACAGCAGGGAAGGAAACTCTTGTCCAGTTCCCTTTCTCCCCTTCTGCAGTTCTCCATTACGCTTACTGTTCTGCCACTGTGCAGCTCATTTGGCAATGAAGAAGAAAAATAGAAGTTCAAAAGCAGAAATACTCCCTGAGCCTTTGAATACTGTCATCAGAACAGGTCCTTCCATGTTTTTTCTCCATTGGAAATGGAGATGCTGTCCTAGACAAGCAAATACATCCAAGTGTTCCAGCTAACCCTGCCATACACGGGACATCTTCTAAAACAACTCACTGGTCTCACGGAACCACACAGATCCACAGTCCTGTCCATACAGTGCAAGATTTGCAGTAAAATCCCCATCCTGCAGACCGTGAGGAGCTTTGCGAGAAGGGCTGCTCCCCTCAGTCTCCTGTCAGGTATGTATTAGACCTAAGTAGACCAGAACTGTTCTCTTAAAGTGCATAACCCACCTGGACCTTGGGCCCTTTCCACTGACAAAGTTTTGCAGCTGAACTCCCTTACCTTCCTTTCTACTTCCTCCATGAGCTCCACGATGTCATACGGCATGTCCTTCTTGTTGGGCACCGGGTACCTCCCAATGGGCCTTCCAGTGCTCCCTCTCTTGGTGCTGTATGCCACCTGGGGCCACCTCCAGAGCCCCCGTGAGGACAGGAGAGGCAGAAGCTGGGGAGAAAGGAGAAAGGGAATTTTGTTACTTGGAAGGACACACATCATCTGGGGAGCCTGGGGAGAGAGGACTTCTCTTCAGCTACTCCCACTTTTGTGACAGGACTCAGGGGTGCCTCTGCTGCTTTAAGTCCCTCGCTGCTCCACGAGCAAGGCAGCCAGTGCTCTGGGAAACTCAAGTCCTGGCTGTAGCCCTAAGCTGCTGCGTGGACACCCAGCAAGCATCCCCTTCCCTGGTACTGCTCCTGTACACCACTTCAGCTGTAGGCCACCGCTGCTGCCCCTCACAGTCCTCACCAGCTGCAGGTCGGCCCATCTGCACCTATGCTGAACCTGCAGCATCTCCCAAGCCTGTCTTTCCAGCCAATCTGCACACAGCAGCATCACTCAGACACCCCGCAGCGGCCCGAACACATTTCCATCGACAAAGCAGCACAAAGAATAAACTCAAGTCAATCAGCCTTCAAGTCTGTCAGTCAGCCTTCCTCCCGGCAAAGCTGCCTTCCCTTCTGCAGAACAAACCGTGGCACCAGAATCACACCTTCCGGAAGCCTGAAACAAACAGCACTGTTACGCTGGAACCGCTGGATGGGGTTTGGTTCTGATAAGACTATATTACCGTTTGTAATACTCCATTACTGTAAGAAAGTGTCATGCTGTTGCCGTGTCTAAGCTTACAGCCCTTGTTAGCTCTTCAGCTGTGTTGCAAAGGACTTTACGAAAGCAGCAGCCTCTCACAGATTTTTTTTGGAGTGTGGAGCAGCAGGAGGTTGGGGAGAGCTCAGGTGTCCCAGCACCCTGCTCGGAGGGCAACTCCAGGGTGTCACAGCGCTCCAGCCTCAGCCCGCCACCACATGGTGTCCCCAGCAGTTTTGAGGTGAAAAATAAAGCTGTTGATCACAATCTCAGAGTGGTTTTGCTTGGCATGTCCTTGAGTTCTTGCCTGAAACACCAACACATTACTGCAGCATAAATGAGTAATAATGATAACTAGGGCAGAAACACCCTCGGCTCGCTGCTCTAGGGAGGGAAGACACTGAATCACAGGATGGTTGGGGTTGGAAGAATCCTCTGGAGATCACCCAGTCCAACTCTCTGCTCGAGCAGGACCACCCAGAGCAGGTCTCACAGGAACATCCAGGCGGGCTTTGAAAGTCTCCAGAG